GACACATCTCGTACCGGTGTCGTCGGTCGCACGAATCTTATACTCGAGCCTGTCACGAAAATAATCTATTAACTTTGGAAGAAAGATGGGATACACTAGATGTCTGCTTCCTATTTGATATTGTTCGGGACAGAGTAGACTGTCCTGATCTGTTGCATAAAGTAGCATTCTGCACTCCTAGGCCTCGAACACGTCACACACCGCTATTCAATGTGCCTCAACGTCGCACTAACTACGGTTCGAATACTGTCATGGTTAGGTTACCCCGAACCATAGAATTATTATTCTATGCCCCGAACATACAATGAAAAGTTTAGCCAGGTTGACTTCTTTCGCTCAAGCAAGTTAACTTTCAAAAAGAAGGTGACAGACATCTCTCTCACAAATTTTAAACGCTATAAACAAAAGTTGTACTTGGTCAAAAATAATTGAGTAAGCGTAAGCAGCTGTTCTCAAAAAATATTTGGGAATATACAAAATACAAGGGGTCTATGGCCAACGGTCGAATGGTTAACACGTACTTGTGAGTGCTTTTCGATATTTGGTTAATTTTCCTTAATTTCCTTATTTTGTGGTGGTGGATTCCTCTGCTGTAAGTAGACTACGTTTATAAGATATAGTTATTTCGAACAATACACCCAATTATGGGTGACGAAACGGGGTCTCCCCGTGAGAAACTCCCTGACCCTCCCGATGAAGACATGTGCTTTGGATTAAGTGACAATAATGATTGTGACCGTGGTAAAAAAAGACACGCTGAGACTCGATCATTTGAACCAGTAATATATAAAAAGAATTCTGTAATTGATTTAACAGCGTCAATAAACATAATATATAAACTTCCCTGCCTAGAACAAAATCTTAGAATGTATGGAGCAAATGATCAAGGCCCTTTTATTGTCCACATCTCTCGGGCTACGTCAGATTCTAGAATAGGGCTATCACTTCGACCAATTAAAATAGGTTTATGCTTGTCTAAAAATAAAAAATAAAACATCAAAAGAGGGGGAGTCTAAAGCGTTGTCAGAAATCGCATCTCTATTGAATTCTGCTCAGCAGATGAGGCTAACAAATTTCTTAATAATCCAATGCTTGCAAAAGAAAAATTGATTCCAACTATTCCATCCTATAATGTTTCTCGAATGGGTGTCATCCGCGGTGTCCCTGTGGATTGGTCAATGGAAGAACTAGCAGAAGCTATTGAGCTTCCTCCCGGTTGTGGTAAAATCCTAAAAGCTCGCTGTCTTCAGAGAAAGACTTTTGCTGAAGGTTCATCATCCCCAATATGAGTTCCTACTCAATCTATTGTTCTGATATTTGAAGGTAAGTTACTCCCCAAATATATATACGCACTTGTCACATCCCTTGCCGTTGAAACTTTTCAACTCCCCACCATGCAGTGGAAACAGTGTTGTCGATTTGGCCACATAGCAGATCAATGCCGCTCTAAACCACGCTGCTTCCGTTGTGCCCAAGAGCATACTGGAGCAAGTTGTTCTGTTCCTGAAAGTGAAGCCACTTGTCTGTTATGCTCCAAAAATCATTTTGCTAATAACAAAAATTGTCCGGAACAGCAGACAGAAATCTATCAAAGTCATGATGTCAGAACAAAATGTATCCTATATAGAAGCTTCAGCCAAAATCTCATCTATCCGTTTGAACAATCTTCAAAAACCGTATTCTGAAGTGGCCTCTACTCAGCTTTCACCTACTCCTACTACCTCCTTCAACCTCCCCACCATGTCACAGGCATATAGAAAAACCATTTTCAAAAAAAATCCCATACCTAGAATTCCCATGGGGTATACCAACAAGCTCATCAAAGAATAGTTGCAGACTGCCCATCCTCTACTCCAAATGGATGCGCATTATCCAATACACACAACCAAATATCTCCAAATGAAAATTTTGTTGAATGCCTAATTTCTCTCCTCAATAATTTAATTTTGAAAATGTCAGACTCACTACCGAACAACGTTGCAGAAAAAAATCTTTAATTTAGCTACTTTAATAGATAATATAAATGACTCAAACAAAAGACCTCTATCTTCTTCAGTGGAACTGTAGAAGCTTGCAACCTAAAAAATATGAACTCATCTTCCTAATAAATAAACATTCAATTTCTGTTGCTTCAATATCAGAAACATGGTTCCTACCTAACTCCAAATTTCGCTTGCAAGGCTTTACTTGCCTCCGTGAAGATAGAAATGATGGTTATGGTGGTTTTTGCTTACTCATAAAAAAATCGCTACCCTTTTCTCAAATTACACTCCCTCCTCATAGCCAAAACATTAATGCCGTAGCTGCAAAAATTGCAGGAATCAACATTATTTCAATATATTATATCCCTCATCCAAATACCCACTTAATTCAAGAACTATCCTCTCTCTTTTCTTTGTTACCTCCCCCTTTTATTATTACCGGTGATTTTAATTCACATCATGTATCTTGGGGGTCACATTTTTGTGACATATACTCTTCAGAACTTATACAAGTTTTTGAAGACATTAATGCTTGCACTATCAACAATGGTTCCCCCACTCATAGAGTATACCCAGGACTAGACCCTAGGTCTGCTGTCGACCTAACAGCTTGTTCTTCTAGTCTAGCCTCTCAGCTTTCTTGGAAAACTCTCAATCAAACATATGGAAGTGATCACTATCATCGAATATTCCTCTGTCTTGGTCAAACCAAATTGTTATACCTATCCTTAAACCCGGAAAAGATCCCAAAGAAGCTTCTTCATACCGCCCAATTGCACTTTCATCTACTTTTTGCATAATTTTAGAACATTTAATTAAAAACAGACTTAAATGGTTTCTGAAACATAATAACATCCTTGCAAAAAGTTAATTTGGTTTTCGTAAAGGGAAAAGCACATTAGATAGTTTGAGCATCCTAACTACAGATATTAGGTTGGCTTTTTCTAAAAATGAATACTTGGTGGGTTGTTTCCTGGATATATCATCTGCCTATGACAGTGTTCTTCTTCCCATGCTCAGGCAGAAAATGCTTCATCTGAACATCCCTGCGAAGACTGTACACTTCATTTACAATCTGTTCATGGGACGATCTATCAAAATTCGCAATAAAGAATGTTAAGCTCGCCCAGAACAATTTGGAAGGGTCTACCACAGGGCTCGGTCTTAAGCCCTATTCTTTACAATATCTACACATATGACCTTGAACATTCGATTTCGTCTTTCTGTGACATATTACAATATGCAGATGATCTTGCTATTTATGTAACAGCTCATGATATCCTAACTGCCTCCCATCATCTTAACAGAAGCTTATATTATCTTAATCAATGGCTTACTGACCATGGCCTCTCTCTTTCAGCTTCTAAAAGCAAAATAATAACCTTTAGTAGAAAACATGTTATCCCTACTATTGATATCTCATATAATGGTGAATCTATTCCAGTTGTTAACAAAGTAAAATTTTTAGGTATTTACTTAGATTGTCATATGACCGGTACTGCACACTTTAATTACATCAGTGACAAATGTGAGAATGGTGTTAACATTCTTAGATCTCTTTCAGGCGTATGGTGGGGTTCACACCCCATGTGTCAAAAAATCCTATACAATGCCATCATCCGCAGTCACTTCGACTATGGCTCTTTTCTTCTGGAGCCCTGCAACAAATCGGCCCTTAATAGGCTTGATGTTATCCAAACAAGATGTTTACGTATTATCACAGGCGCAATGAAATGAACTCCTAAAAATGCTTTACAAGTAGAATGTGCTGATCCCCCTCTCTCTTTACGAAGACAGTTTCTAGCTGATAGATTTCTCTCAAAAATACTACAACTTACATCTCACCCCTTACATCGTAAACTAGAATCCTTGCTACTATTAGCTGTAAACAACTCCGCTGTAAAGTTCCGATTGATCACTTCTTCATTTGGAGATATGTCTGATCAGTTGCCTGTATGCTGTTAAATCTGCTGAAGACTGCAGCTTCATTTCCCGTCTAACAGCCATGACATTAAGTGTGATCATAGAGTTTTGTGTTCTTCTGCAGCGGTCTTGCAGAATTTAGCTCCAACCGCATGGACAGTTTCCACGAGCTTGTCATTCATATCGTCCACTGCATTGCAATCTTCTAGGCATTGAAAACGGTTTTGTAACTTGTGTTGAAAGGTTTCGGGACTTTGTATTAGAGCACGAGGAGGACGGAGCGTTGACTTCATTAGACGAGATCTCTCCAACTTAAGGTTTAGGTTCAGTGTGCCTCTAACCATTCGGTGATCGCTACCAGTTCGGTCAGTATTCTGATGGAGAAGTCTTTTACTATCCTGGCATCAATTGCTATGGCCGCTTGTATCCCCATACATTCAGCCTGAACAACTGTTGTGGGTACCCAGCGGTGTACATATGTGAATGTTGTGGTTTTCAGAGAAAGTTCCAGATTGTGCACCTTCTTTTGTTTTGTAACCATCTTGTTTTGTGAAGATTCTTAGTTCTTTTGGGTTTAAACCATCCTACTAGTTAGTTTCGTTTAATTGTATGTTATATTTCTTATCAAACACAAATTGTTTAGGGATCTTATCATACTTGGTTTGTAAGATAGGAATTTTGGTGTAAATTCTATTAACTATACTACCTTTTCCTCCATAGATTTAGGGTCTTTAGTCTAATGGCAGCTTAAGTTGTTTCTTGTTTTATGTGTAGGTGAAGCGGGATTAGCTCCAGCATAGCCTCCAAGGCTGCTGTAGGTGTAGTTCTTGTACTTGGCAGCCTTACATGCCAGTCGCTGATGCTTATCTGATGATGATACTTATCCAGATGCTTATCATATAAATAGTATACAGGAACACAGAAAAACATTGCATCTTACTAAAGTTTCATCCTAATTGGATGTATAGAAATGCATACAAGATAAACAAAGAAACATTTATTTTTATAAAATATAACATTGATGGGACAAATTAGTATCAACTAAGACATTAAAGTAATTTAAAACATTATGTATATAAATAATTGTAAGAAAAATTAACATTTAAAATTAAGCATCTTTTCATCAGCTATATATTTTATTCTGTTTACAATAGTGCCAACTTCTGCCATTGCTCCAATTCCAGTGTCTCCACAAATAAGTTGCTTATTAATTGGTGGTATTTCTTCGTGGCCCCATTCCTTTAATATCTGTATATGTTTCAATGTTATCGGATGCTCCCACATTCTAGTATTCATTGCAGGACAAAATAACAATGGTTTGTTTATATCCCAAGCACGGGTAGTGCAAGTCAATAGATTATCACACAGACCCTGCAACAGATTGAAATTTTTGCCTTTTGTACTGCAGTATTATTTGATTTTCCATTTGCTAGTGGCATGACAGAATTTTTTACAAACATAGATTGCATGAGGACAAACATCCAGACCTGGAACAATTATTTGTAGGCCATATAATTACTTGTACCATGCGGGATTCGAACCCGTGGCCCCCAGCGCAACAACTCATTGCAAAGCGACTGCGCCACGGAGCCATCAATTTCATCACCTCTTAGGAAAAAATATAATAATAATAAAATAACTATTATCTTTAACATTTTTAAACTCTAAATAATATTTATTGAATTAAATTAAAAATTTTAAAAATTAACTAACTCAGATCCATGTAATAAAATAAAATGAAGAGCACCGTACGCCCTTCCTCAATTGCATGCACTATCCCCGTTACCACTAATCCCAATAATACCACTACTTCTAACACTACAACACTATGTAAGACACCACCGTTGATAATATGACATGTGTATCACCTTTAAACAGGGTATCAAGGGTGTAATAGACTCAGTGGCAAATGGCTAATATAGTGTAGTACAGTAGTTGTGATTAGTAGTGGCGAGGATAGTGCATGCAATTGAGGGAGTGCATAAAGTGCTCTTTAAAGTAGTTAAGACACATCATTTCTAATTCAGCTTTATGCAGATCATAGCTATTTGATTTTTAACATCTTTAATATAATGGATTTCCACAAAGTAACACTTGATTCTATTCATTATATTACTTATTGGACCCTTCATGGTGAAATATTTACTCCGTTTCTCTGCATATAGCTAAATGAACAAAACTACTAAAATGGCTTTATTAATAATCTCAAAAAATACATAAAAAGGCTAGAACACTATGTTTTATAGAACAAAGCCATAATAGTTTCAAGAATTTCAAAAAAATTGTAGTCAGCAATATACCTGAGCCATTTTTGCTAAGGTATTGGCATCTAAAGGTGCTATGATCAACATATCTGCCCATTTTCCAAGCTCAATATGAATCACAGGATCACCTCTTTGTTTCCAACTATTCCATTCTGTGGCATCGTCATAAACAGTAACACCAGGAGGTAGTTCTGAGCTGTTGAAGAAGTGTTTCGCATGCTCCGTCACTACAATAGAAATCTGATTGAAGCAAAATTATTAATTTCATGCTCAGGGGCTTCACTTCTGGCTTATGAGAACAAATTTTTAAGCATAACCTCAAACTTATATTGGTGGATTCCATTTAATTTTATCAAAGATTCTAATAGTAAAGGTATTTTTAAAGCTGCAACACTTCCTGTTGCACCAATAAGTAATTTAAAAGTGCTTTTATCCATGGCGTATTTTTATTACAAAATCGTTATCACGAATCACGAAGAGAAATTACGACTTAAGAATCTCTGTGGAAATTGGAAAATAAAATACTTCCCTATATAAAAAAATACTCTGTGGGAAATACGAAATAAAAAAACAAAACAAAAACAAAAACAAAAATGTCAAGATAAGACGTAGATTATAGAAGCGACGAGAACAGATAAAAAAAACATCGCTTGTATTTTTAGTGACAAGTATAAGACGTCGTCCTAATATAACGCGATTACGCGATCTTCGCGCGAGTAAGCGATGCGACCATCGCGTACTCGCGCGGTATTAAAAACGCAATCATCGCGCGAATTGACGATGCGAGTGGCCACGGGTTCCGCTTTGCCTCGCAGTTTGCGCATGGCATTGGCGCTAAGAATGGACGTCGAAAACACCCAGTTTTTACTTTCTGGTAATATATAGATGACTTTGTCTTGCGTATGTGGACTATGAGAAAGCCTTTGATTCCATCGAAATTTGGGTAGTGCTGCAGTCCCTCTAGCGGTGCCAAGTGGACTGTCGGTATATCAAAGTGCTGAAGTACAAACACAGTAGGGCAACGATGGCTATCCGAGTACAGAACCAGAGTACGAAACCTATGCAACTGCAGAGAGCTGTAAGACAGGGTGACGTTATATCCCCGAAACTCTTCACCGCTGCGTTGGAAGACGTTTTCAAGCTACTGGACTGAAAAGGATACGGTATCAACGTCAATGGGGAGTACATCACTCACATTCGATTTGCCGACGATATAGTTCTTATGGCAGAATCGCTGGAGGACCTAAGCCCTATGCCCAATGACCTCAATAGTGTCTCCCAACAGGTAGGTCTTAAGATGAACATGGACAAAACAAAAATTATGTTTAACATCCATGCACATCTATGCCGGTAGTTGTTGGGAGCACTAAGCTCGAAGTTGTTGACGAATATGTTTATCTGGGACAAATAGTCCGACTAGGTAAGCCCAACTTCAACTGAGAAGTCAATCGACGGATTCAACTCAGCTGGGCAGCGTTCGGGAGATTACGAGACATCTTGTCGTTAAACACCTCAAATCCTTAAAACTAGATTGTTCAACCAGTGCGTATTACCAGTGATGACCTATGGAACTGTGACGTGGTCCTTTACTGCTGAATGATGAGAAAGCTCAAAGTTGCTCAGCGAGCTATGGAGAGTGCTATACTCGGCGTTTCTCTGCGTGATAGACTTAAAAACCAGGATATCCGCAGTAGAACCTGAGTAACCGACATAGGCCAAGGAATTAGTATGCCGAAGCGGCAATGGGCCGGCGATATAGCTCGAAGAACCGACAACCGATGGGGAAGAAAGGTTCTCGAGTGGTAGCCTCGTACCAGCAGGCGAAGTGTAGGGCGACCCCATCGCGCGAATGCCAATTAGGACACCCACGAGTAAAATTCGCGCGAACTTGCGATGATCGCGAATTCGCGTTGTATTAGGACGACGCCAAAAGGTTTTTCTTATAATATACAATTTACACTGTGTATAAAGGTGATTCAATCAAATCAAAGAACTAATACTGTTCTAAAAGTAAGCACACTAAAAGAATAAGCCTACAATTCTCTCTGAAAAAGTGACAAAACGTGCTAAAAAGCTATGTGACTTCTTAAATCTGCCCTTTCTGGTGTTCCAGTTCCAGTGAAAATGAAAAGGTTGTAAGAGAAGCAGTTGCAAGATTAAGATATGTATTTATTGATTATGACACATGATTATATGTATGACTTGTATTTTATTTATTATACTAAAGCTTTATATTTTGACCGTTTATAATAGGTAAGGTAACAATCTAATCATTACGGGTTTTTTTTATATTTTCACTGTATGTTAAGTTTCATGTAACTGTGTAGTCGGTTTGCTTAGGTACGATTGGCTTTGGCAAGCGCCGCATTTTGTGAAAGGCGACGCGACACAGGTTGCCGCGTGCACCCGAAGAAGAATTTGGTATTTTTAGACGAAGCGCCGTAGTGTACGTTTCTTTGCTACCTAACTTGTTTTTATTATTTATATTCGTATTTTATTACAATAAACATAAGAATAAAATAGTGTTATATTTTATTAGAATAGAATAACATAATATATTTAACAAACATTTAAAAAATAATTAAATAAAAGTAAAATAATAACCCGTAGTGGCGGTTAAGAATATCCACTACCCCATATCTTCCCGTGGGTGTCGTAAAAGGCGACAAAGGGAAACAGACAGGAGATGGGCAGCAGCATCTTCCTGGTAACGACAAAATACAATAAAAAACTGCGGTTGCCAACCCGCTCGCCAAGCGTGGCAACTATGGCAATATACCCCCCATAATGAGAGTTACGAAGAGACGGCCCCCAGTCCCCGGCGGCCCCGCTATTCCTGGCTACGGTGGCGACCATGGTAACGGCGGGGCAGGGGGTGCTAAGAATCTCCGGTGGAGGTTCGGTTGCCACCTACAACGACTCGACCTGGCAACATACAACGCACGCACCCTGAGGACTGACGAGAAGATTGTGGAGCTGGAAGAAGAGATAGACAAGTTACGCTGGCATATTATAGGATTATCCGAAGTCCGAAGAGAGGGGGAGGACACGGTAATCCTCGAATCCGGCAACTTGCTCTATCACCGGGAGGGCGACCATCTGTCCCAAGGAGGTGTCGGATTTATCGTCCACAAGTCTCTCGTTAACAACGTTGTAAAGATTGAGAGTGTGTCGACGAGGGTTGCGTACCTTATACTCAGAATCACCAAACGGTATTCGCTGAAGGTCATACAGGTTTACGCACCAACCTCGGCACACCCCGATCAGGAGGTGGAGGAAATGTATGAGGATATCTCTAGAGCCATACATTCCTCCAAAACCCAATATACGGTGTTAATGGGAGACTTCAATGCAAAACTAGGCACAAGAGAGAACGGTGAGCTGAAAGTGGGGAAATTTGGAATAGGGCAACGGAACCCAAGGGGCCAGCAGTTGGCCGACTTCATGGAGAAAGAGGGACTCTTTATGATGAACTCTTTCTTCCAGAAGCGGCCCCACAGGAAGTGGACCTGGTCGAGCCCCGACGGTTCGACAAAAAATGAGATTGACTTCATTATGACGACCAGACGACAACTGTTCAGTGATGTCTCAGTGATCGCGAGGGTGAAAACCGGCAGCGATCACCGAATGGTTAGAGGCACACTGAACCTAAACGTTAAGTTGGAGAGGTCTCGTCTAATGAAGTCAACGCTCCGTCCCCCTCGTGCTCTAATCCAAAGTCCCGAAACCTTTCAGCTCGAGTTGCAAAACCGTTTTCAGTGCCTAGAAGACTGCAATGAAGTGGACGATTTGAATGACAAGCTCGTGGAAACTGTCCATGCGGTCGGAGCTAAGTTCTGCAAGACCCGCCGCAGAAGAACACAAAAACTCTCCGATCACACTCTTAATCTCATGGCTGTTAGACGGGAGATGAAGCTACATTCTTCAACAGATTTGACAGCATACAGGCAACTGAACAGACAGATCTCCAAATGCATGCGGCGGGACTTACGCAACTTCAATACAGCTCGTATTAAAGAAGCGATCGAGCGGAACCAAGGCTCCAAAGTCTTTGCCAGAGATCTGTCTGCCAGAAAGAGCCAACTGTCAAAGCTGAAGACCGAGTGTGGCAGCATCGTTTCCGGGGCACCTGAGATTTTGAGTGAGATTGAGAGGTTCTATGGGCAGCTGTACACGTCATCGTTGGAGCCACACGCAAGTGTGAGTAACGATCCAAGAGCGAGTCTTATCCGACATTATTCCGATGATATCCCGGACGTCAGTCTGAGCGAGATTAGAATGGCTCTCCAGCACCTTAAAAACGGCAAGGCCCCAGGCCAGGATGGAATTACAGCGGAGCTTCTGAAAGCGGGTGGAAAACCGGTACTTGAAGTCCTTCAGAAGCTCTTTAATTCCGTCCTCCATGGTGGCATTACACCGGAGGCGTGGAGCAGAAGTGCGGTGGTCTTGTTCTTCAAGAAAGGCGACAACGCTCTCTTGAAGAACTACAGACCGATTTCCCTTCTGAGCCGCGTCTACGTGCTGTTTTCGAGAGTCATTACGAATCGTCTCGCGCGCAGACTTGACGACTTCCAGCCTCCCGAACAAGCCGGTTTCCGAAAAGGCTTTAGCACCATAGACCACATACATACCCTTCGGCAAATTGTACAGAAGTCCGAGGAGTACAATTTGCCACTATGTCTGGCGTATGTGGACTATGAGAAAGCCTTTGATTCCGTCGAAATTTGGGCGGTGCTGCAGTCCCTTCAGCGATGCCAAGTTGACTGTCGGTATATCGAAGTGTTGAAGTGCTTGTACAGTAGGGCTACGATGGCTATCCGAGTACAGAACCAGAGTACGAAACCTATCCAATTGCAGAGAGGTGTAAGACAGGGTGACGTCATATCCCCGAAACTCTTCACCGCTGCATTGGAAGATGTTTTCAAGCTTCTGGACTGGAAAGGATACGGTATCAACATCAATGGCGAGTACATCACTCACCTTCGATTTGCCGACGATATAGTCCTTATGGCAGAATCGCTGGAGGACCTAAGCACTATGCTCAATGACCTCAATAGTGTTTCCCAACGGATAGGTCTTAAGATGAACATGGACAAAACAAAGATCATGTTTAATGTCCATGTCACACCTATGCCGGTAGTTGTTGGGAACACTAAGCTCGAAGTTGTTGACGAGTATGTTTACCTGGGACAAATAGTCCAACTAGGTAAGTCCAACTTCGACCGAGAGGTCAACCGACGGATTCAACTCGGTTGGGCAGCGTTCGGGAAATTACGGCACATCTTCTCGTCAGGTATACCTCAAAACTTGAAAACGAGACTGTACACCCAGTGCGTGTTGCCAGTGATGACATACGGAACTGAGACGTGGTCCTTCACTGCTGGCCGGATGAGGAAGCTCAAGGTCGCTCAGCGAGCTATGGAGAGGGCTATGCTCGGAGTTTCTCTGCGTGATAAACTCAGAAATGAGGATATCCGCAGTAGAACCAGAGTGACCGACATAGCCCAACGGATTAGTAAGCTGAAGTGGCAATGGGCCGGCCATATAGCTCGAGGAACCGACAACCGATGGGGAAGAAAGGTTCTCGAGTGGCAGCCTCGTACCGGCAGGCGAAGTGTAGGGCGTCCCCCCACTAGATGGAGTGACGACCTGGTAAGATTTGCAGGAAGTCGATGGATGCAGGTGGCTCAGGACCGTGCTTTGTGGCATTCTTTGGGGGAGGCCTATGTTCAGCAGTGGACTTGTGAAGGGCTGTAATGATGATGTAATGATGAAAATAATAACTGCCCCTCCAAGTGTACCGACACTATCTTAGCAAACAGACTACAATATTATCCCCAAATAATTGCTAAGGCGAAGTGTAGGGCGTCCCCCCACTAGATGGAGTGACGACCTGGTAAGATATGCAGGAAGTCGATGGATGCAGGTGGCTCAGGACCGTGCTTTGTGGCATTCTTTGGGGGAGACCTATGTTCAGCAGTGGACTTGTGAAGGGCTGTAATGATGATGATGATGATTGCTAATTGTCACAAATTTATTTCTAACAGATCAAAAGTATGGTTTAAAAGTTAGGCCCTGTTCCGGTTAACATTTTGAAAAGTGACAAGTGCGAGTGGCAACCAAGTGATTTAAGAGAAGTTTTGGCGGGAACTTGACCGGCAGCGGATTCCTGTTCTTGTATTATTGTTTAAATAAACGATTGAAGTTGATTATCTTATATAAAAGTGCTGCGATTTTGTGTATTAAATGTCTGTGCGTGTGAACTATAAGTGGAAACGATGAAACAAGTGCTCTGATGGTGATATGAATCTCAAGATAAAGTGTATGTCTTTTTAGGTACCTTGAGATATTATCGTTAAAATCTCCCAAAAAATACGCGATGTGATACATCCACAAATTCTAAAGCAGTGTACTATAAAGGATTATAATCACTCGATACTGAGATCATGAAGCAAATATTTGCTTCATGACTGAGATAAATTAAGACATGGCTTAAAAGACAAGCATCCTAGCCGAAAATATTTATAGAAAAACATAATATTTTATTTTTAATTTTAATAACACTTGACAGCTTGCTACATATTATCTATTTATCTATTGGTTGTGGTTGACAGTTAGCCGTGGTCCGCGCAAGTGGTAAGGTTACTCGTTGGTCTAAAAAACTTTGTTTTAAAGTTACGACAAGCAGCCAATAGTTTTAGTGACAAAGCTTTGTACATATTTTCTTAAAAAAATTGCGTTGTTTCTTAATCTAAGTGTAACAAGAGAGGATGGGTAATGTAAAATTGTGAATTCGTGCAGCGCCGTGAGAAAATTACGGTTAAATTGTTAACTATGGATGGAAACGCGAAGTATTACGAGGGCTGCGGGCAAGAAGGGCCCATTCGTTGTATATTTTTGTGTGAATTCCATCCTACAGCTGGACCCAAGATAACGTGCCAAGTACCTGAAAACTATATTTCAAAAGATATTTTCGATACCGTGAGCCATTATATTATACCAAAAGTGCAACTGCAGAGATGTACTTTGACTGTGTAAGTTTTGAAATTTGATTGTTATTCCTTATTTGACGGCATTTGTTTTAGGTTTAGGAGGAAACCTTATCAGTGTTTGTTACCGCGTATCGAATTGTATATAAACAGTAACAATTTTTTTTTTAGTTATCAAATCATTAACGAGCCGTCTTTAATTTTTTTAAATAAATGTGTTAAGAAATATTTTTAACGTATTTTTTAGGAATAATGCGCTAAAATATTTCTTAAAATATAAAAAAATAATCTATTACATTAGGATGTGTGGTCATATTTTCCAAATCAGATACATTCTGATAATCATAACAAAAATTAATAATTTTTTTAACAATAATCAAATTTTTTAAAACCTTTCTTGCTATTTGCTTAGATATTGTTTTTCATAGTAATTTTTGTTCTCAGAACTCTCCTTGGCTCCAAGATCCTTGGCTTCCCTGTGAGAATTGACAATAAGAAATATGCAAGGAATGCATACTATTTTAATCTATGCTTTGTATGTGATGCATGGGCAAGAACAGTACATCTTGAACCCTTGGTGAAGAAACTTACGGAATACCTTGTAAGCTGTACATTTTTTTGTTAATTTAAAATATCATTAAATTATCTACTTGTTTTCACATTTGAAATTATATATTTTCTCTGGTTTAGTTATCAATGGAGTTAGAGACCGAATGGCTATCAAAACAGTCCAAGTCTGGTGATGCTAAGGATCTTGGTGGGTTGATGAGGCAAGTTATGCAAGATATAAACAGCAAAAGAATGTGCACTTTGACAGGTGAGGTTATATACAAATTATAAGTTTTGGTGTTCATACTTAAGTGTTAATATGCCATACAACTGATTGGGTTTTTGGTTAATGTTTTTTTACATTTGGTTTGTTGTGATTGATCCATCAGAACATCATCATTGCAGCTCTTCACAAGTCCACTGCTTGAAAATAGGCTTCCCTTGAAACACAACCTGCAGCTATATTATGGTTGTAGCACGAATGGGTTGGCTCGACCGGGGAAGGACCACACTCTCACAGAACACCAGGGTAAAATAGCAGCTTAATACTGCTGTGTTTCATATGGTGAGTGTAGAGCACTGGAGACCCTTTTTACTGGAAATGAGGCATTCCATCGTAGTCCTCAGGGGTGACAACGCATTCACATTTTGATTCTTAATCAAAGATAAATGTAGATATCTATGAGCCACTTCATCCACTCACCATCAGGTGGACTGTGTGCTTGTTTGTCACCCCATTCTATAAAACAAAACTGAACTAACTCTTTCCTTTTATTTTCTGCATGCTATTAGGTTGTCACTCCATATAGTGGGAGGCCACTCTTTACTTTGTTTCAATTATGAGACTGTTACAAGAAAAAAAAGGAGGCCACCATACGCCTCGGATATATTATAATATATCCAGGGCGTGTGGTGTGGTTCTATTTTAATTCTTTTACGGTTACCGCTATACGACTATGGAATTCTCTCCCCTTACATATTAAAGAATCTAAATCTCTTCCTATATTTAAAAATAAATTAAAACTTTATTACCTTTCCCCTTAAGTTACTACCTGTCGTCATTCACTTTTTCTTTCTTCTTTCTTTATCTTTCTATATTATATTCTGTACACCCCTTCCGCTATCATTTAAAAATAGTATCCTCTGCCCTAAGGTTGCCTGGAAGAGATCGCTGTTTTAGCGATAAGGCCGCCTGTTGTACCAATGTCCCTTTAAATATATAAATACTGTAATATGTTCCTTAGTGTACAATAAAGTATATTTTACTTTAGTTTACTTTATATCCAGGGCATGTGGTAGCTTCTGATAGCACTGTGAAGCTTTTGTTATGGTTGATATAGCTCAGGACAAGGGACATCTTAATATCAAATCTATTGATGCTGTTTCTCATGCTTCACCAGCACATAATACACACTCATATTATAGAGTTTTTTGTGAATTTCTCTTAGTGGATTCTTACAACACATTGATTAACATTCTAATATAATTTACATGAGAGAACTGGTAGGATTTGAAAATTATTAAAAAAAAAAGTGTTAAGTACCCACTTACATTAAAAAAGAATTAGTTGTAGGTACAACTCGACAACTGTTAAAAAATTTTCAAAATAAATAAAATGAAAAACGCAACGGAAAATTACACAGAAACAGAAACTTTATAGACCAATAGTTTGTGTCAAATTATTACAGAGTGAACGATACCAGACATTCTGATAAGCCAGTATTGGTTGTATTATTAAATTTATTTAAATACTATTTAGGTATGTAATTGATACGAAATCTGTCGTAAATTATGTCGCATGTTGTTTTATTGCCTCGTTTATCTGTTGGTATACTGTGTGCCCCATCTTCTTTGCGTATGGACCAATCAGTATTTTTGCCAGTCAACTTGTCGAAATTATTTAGTTGTAGTTAAAGCCATTTTTTTTAAAATCTGCTTATCTTACTTTAGTTTACCTTGAAAACTCACATTACGCACTTTATTTCTATTAGCTTAACTTGTGTAAAGATCGTATAATTTCTAACTGCACGTGCCTTTCTTGTATTTTTGGTAGACTAAAACATAGTTATTAAACAATATAACACAAATAAAAACACGAATTTACAATTATTTAAAAAAAATCACTACCACAAACATGTCTCCATTTCCAGCCTAAAAGTCCGACTTCGACGACCATTCATAGTTTGATCTTCAATCTTTTGTTTGTGTAAACAAGGTTTAGTTTTCATTAAAATTTTAAAATTAAGTGAGTATACATTGATTTTATACAATACTAGTAGGAAGCGTGAGTGATAAATAAATTACAAACATTTTATTTGTCTGTTTGCTTGGCATCATATCAAAAACTATTTTCAACTCCGATTTTTCTTTCAATCTATGAGGACCTAATGGGATGTCACGTTATCAGTTCAATCACCGTACGAAATACATCATTATAGTACTGTCTTAACCTGGTACTCTATGAGATAGCAATAAGCAATCTAGCTCATTCGCACTATAAATTTTATAGCCTATATACGTCCCATTGCTGGGCACAGGCCTCGTCTCACTTCTCAGATGGTTTTAAGGCAAAGAATTAATGTCTTCAAAATAGTTTTTATTTATTTATCAGACATGCTGGTTTCCTCGCGATATTTTCCTTCACCGCCGAGCACGTGGTAAATCAGTACTTAAAACTGTAAGTAATAATTTCATTGATGTCGGCGGACATTGAACACGGGTTGCTCGCGTATTGTGAAATTTACAGGGAGCGCTAAGCCCAGAGCTACCACGGCTGAAATTTCGCGCTATACATTTAAGTAATGCTGTAGAGTTATTCTACAGTATATATAATGAGCGAATACAAAATCTTATGGTATATAAGCCATGGTAGCTATGGGAAGCGGTCGGCATTAATTTCACAGTCCGCGAGCAAACCGGGTGTCGGTTCCCGCCGGGACCAACGATATAATTAATTGCGGTTTTAAATGCTGATTTACAACGTTCGCGACGGTGAAGGAAATTATAATATAGGTATTTAAAGTCTGTAAAAACACATAGGAACAGCGCGGCAGACTAATGGAAAGAAAGAAAGAATGAAACATTTATTGCGTACACGCCACACATATAATTAGGCACTTAAATATAAACACAACAATTAATGAAGGTATGATAAAAAAATGATAACAACAAAAAAGAACAAATTCACACACGGTAGAAGTGACACTTTGTAATAGTTCTTGTACTATTATTTATTCTGTGGTAATAGCGTAAAATCTACTTCATTTTATTGGTAAAGTCATCTATAATATATCAACAAAAATTGATTGACTCTAAGTGGTACGTAAAATAGACGCTAGATGGCCTAAACACGACTAATTTAATATAAACCGGTAAGTTATGAAATCCTTGATTGGTTCGAGATAATTTTATTCAATATGGTTCATTTTATTTATTTAATAGATTTGTTAATTTTTAAGTGGTAATTTTAACAGTTTGATTGACGGTCAGATAGTCGAAAAGTCATTTGCGGTTTATTTTGTTGTGGATTCAGAACCCTAAATTTATTCAAGTTGCCTATTGCCATCAATCAAAGAATAATTTATAGACATCACACTGACTTATAAATTATGCAAAAAGTATGCCTGCTCTATTGTTTGGTTTTGGACAGTTGGTTGTGAAACCTATCTGATATTTAAGGAGCAACTTTGGGCGCCAAAATGAATAAATAATACGAAATTAAAACACGTGTCATGAATCAAGGTTCAGTCAACAAAACAATCATATATAAGTATGTTCGTAGGAAAATATACACCTTTTAAACTATGCATTTATTCCAAACTATTTTATTTACAAAAGTACAAGTTGTGGCTCGCGATTTAGCCACACCAATTCGCTTCGGTTATGGACGTGAAAAAACTCAGGGTTTATTGGTTTTGGTAGTGTATTGCATAATATTTAAGCACTTCTGTAAAATAGCAAAATCATTTGACGCGAGCACCGCACACCTCTTGGTCGGTAATTACGAATTAGATATCTCCAAAGAGATTTAAAATACTACTTAAATTTCTTTGGATATCTCACATACATATACCTCACAGGTATTATCTTCATCATTTTCCTTTTATACAGCTCTGAGTCGGATGAAGCTATAAAAGTCAAAAGACTTACAGTACCTACTAACATCAGAAAGTTGTAAAATAGCGTTCTGCCAAATTCATTTCAATTCAATTTATTCGGAACAATATACTCGTACATTGTGTAGGATACATACATAATCAAAATAAAACAGTACATTTTTGACAATAGTGATGTCATACAATACAAATGAAGCAATGTCGAGTAAATGCGAAATTATTAATGTCACAACAGTCATAATAAATTAAGAGATTATGTTACAATAATAATATTAAGATGATTGAATACTATCATTCAAAAGCAGGAATGTTACCGGGCCTGGACTGAAACTATTAGCCAAATCGAATAAAAAAAAGGGCGTGACGGACGCAAACTTTACCCTTTTTTAAAATACTATAATCGTTACTGTTTATAAATTATGTTAAATAACATGTTTAATCAGAACAAGAACATTATTTCAAATTACAAATATAGCATACTTGTAGCAACCTGCATGTCCGCGGAATTAGTATTTCGTGGTATAGTCATTAAATAATCAAACTTTTAAAAAAGTGAGGGTATGTTACGCCAACAAGCATTGGAGCAACCCTTCTCAGAAGTGTATGGTTTTCTTCATTTCGTGTACAAACACATTAAACATTTTCCTTTCGCCATAGGTAGGTAGTCTGGTCAACAAGTTGAAAAACGTGAAAAATAAACATAAAGCTCTTAAAAATATGAGCGATAGCTCATTGGATTCGGAATGATCTATAGAAATATGTATTCTAAGGGCTTTTTAGCATGGAAAAAATTGCAATTGTTATTAACATCATTTAAAATTAACAATAATACTTCAGACTTCAATATAAATTATTAAGAATAACTCAAAAACCATTGGTCAGACCTTGATCAAATTTGTATGGGACCACATGAGAAGCACCAGCTTTCAAATAAATAAAAGAATCATCGCAATCGGTTCACACAAAAAAAAACGGTATCCAGTTTTTTGTTAATAACTCAAAAACTATTAATGTTTAAGGAATTTTGAAAAAAGATTCTTAAAGAGGAGGAAATTTCCAATAAAAAAAGTCTCTACTCCCGAAACTCCCTCTCCATTATTTATAATTTTAATTTTTAACTCTGAAAATATTGCTCTTTACGACTTGCGCGCGT